ACGATTGCTCGATCGCGGTGGCACTTGTAAGCCTGTTAAACAAACTACATTTTGCAGCTTTTTTTCTTAATCGCGCTGAAAGTGACTGCATCCAGAAGAAGGTAAAACAATAATATTAATTTAATTAACGGTCTACGAGTTAAAATAATGCACATGTACATTCTGCTATCCTAACTAGCAGACTGGCCATTCGTGTGTAGGAAGTAGTTTATGTCGTTCCCGAATTACTGGGATCTATAATAACCTTATGGCTTTGTGTGTTTTCTTTAGTTACCAAGGGTACGACAGGTTTCTCCTTTGTTTTTGGAAAATTGCTATGGATAGGGTTTATATATACTTTATCACAAAGCATATAAAATATCCATAATTTTATATTTGGTATGTGTAAAATAACATCAAAATAAATTTCGATATCAGAAAATGCTTTGAATAACGTTTATACAGCCAACGCTCTAAAGCCTTTGGCAATTCGATAAAGTGCTCGTAACTAGAGTTGGTCCTTTAAGCTATCCCGCGAAAGGCTCTTTCTTGATATATATTTTTTTCGGGCTAAAAAAGGAATTGCTAAACTGATTTACATTGTGAAGAGATCATTGCATTCATTTCATAGCCCATAACTGACTCGTAAAGTCTTGTTGAAATGTTAATTCAGCGTCAGTTTTAGCCTGCGACTCCCTCTTTTCGGCGAAAATTTATTATATCATTAGGGAAAGTCATATTACGGTAAAAGTGTTCATGTAGTGTGTACTTTTTACTAATTCGTGTTGACTAATCGAGTGGCCGCTTTCGGGAGCTTAGAAATAAAGGGAAGACGTGAGTATTACTAAGTAGTTACCAAATTGAGGTTGTCACGGTCACATTCGATTCCGGAGCGCTCACGAAGAGCTAATCGATTGTATTTCCTTTTTATGAAGAGCGCCCTAATGCTAGTTTTAGTGTACTCATGTCCTTTGTTTATTTTCAAAAAAAAGAAAGAAAGAGTCAGTCTTGTTGTGTCAGAGCAAAGGAGAACCTCGACCTTGGGAAGAGAAACAGTTCATTTTGAATCGTTGCTCTGTACAATGGATTTTAAGTTCAAATGACACAGTAAGAGAATTTACGACATGGTCGAGGGATTTTACAGCGCGTTTAGCGAAGTGAAGCGAGAAAAGTCTTCTGTCATGATAGTAAATTTATGAATTCTACGTTGATCACTAGAAATAATCAGACTGTTATTTCCGTTTGGCGTAAAATTTCTGCTTTGTTTGTTTTTTCCTTTTTGGTTTTGCAACTAATTTGATTGTAATTTTCCGACAAGCATCCCCTTCACTTTTGTATGGGAGTCCCCCTCTAAGTTTGCCAGCCCCTTCCTTTCCACAGCACTTATCGACTTTTAAAAAAACACTCATCGACACTTAGCTTAAAAATTTACTAGCACACGATAACTAGTAACTAGTTTACCACAACGATTCGAGAGAACTTATTCCGTAGCTTTCAACTGAATTAGAGAAGGTCAATACAATCAAAATGATAGGAATTCTTTTGAACGTTGTGCACTTTCAGGTCCACAAAAACATATAACAAAGGAGTCTGACGGGTTTCATAACCATTCCACTCAATTAACTATGCTCCAACGGATAAACCACCTTTAAGTACTGCTAGGCATATTTTTCTGATTTAAATCGTGGTCACACTTAATCACGGACTCGAATAAGTCAGAAACCACTTTCGAAAAAAAAAATACTACAACGGAAAGTTTCTTCAACGCCTAGCTTTACTGGCTTAACCATGAAGCCATGAATGCAATGGAAAAACATTAAAATTACGGTAACCGTTGGGATAAACTTTGGTCAAGTTTAAAATAAGAACTTCACCTTCTGAAGAATATTACAGGGAGGTTCTTTTGGATTTTTCTTGAAGCTGACCAACGTTTTTACGAACTTCATTTGTTTGAACCACATTTTTACCGTAAAGGAATTTTGCATGTTGAATTAAACAAGGTATTAATATTTAAATGCATGACGTTTTTTAGTCGCATGACGCTTGAACATAATGGCGAAACATAAAATATATCTTAATTAAAGTACAGGACTCAATAAAAATTAAATATATGAGACAAGCTATAGAGGTTAAAAGTTGTCGTCAGAGTTAATACATTTTGCAGTTTTTTGCGATCGCGTAATTAAGTTCTGCTGTCAGTTGTTAAAAGGTGGATAGCGCTATCTGCTAGATAAATAACTATCCAGCGAATAAGTATTAGGAAAACCAATTGCGTTGTCCACTGGATAGTGATTTATCGGGTGAATAGGGCACCTCATGAACAACTGGGGCCTGAACTTTATTTTAGGACATGTTCATTGTAATTACGAAAGTACCGCTTTTTAAACTATTCGGATCTATTTTGTAGAAAAGTGAAGTCAGTGAACGTTCCATATTTTTCAATTTGAAACCCACGTCATGATTAAAAATGTGAATTTAAAATTTTCTTATAATAGTAAATGTGGGATCATTAAATTCGATGGAATTCGTACTGTAGGGTCTAAAGTAACTCTTAACGTACTTGAAACATACAGCTAAGCAGATATTAAACAATTATTGGATAAAGTTTTTGTTATATCCGGAATAATCAAGGTCGAGGTTAAGTGTTATCAGCCTAACCGAAGGCCGAGGCTGATAACACTTACCGAGACCTTGATTATTTAGGATATCACAAAAACCTAATCTAATAATTGTTTTATTATACATTGTTTGGAAAAAAATAACGACGAACACACCGTCGCAAGGAACCTGAATTGATAATGTTATTGGCAATCATGCATTGCGCGCGCAACCTAGAGATTAGTCAGTTATCTTGCAGATAACTTTGCGTTGATTTTCCAAAATTAGCGGTAGGCTCTTAGCCAATGGGAAGACAGATAGCGAGTACAATGTATAATAATAGATTGTTATTATTTAAATTTTTTAAAGTAATTACAAAAGTTCTAAATTTTTCTTTTCTTCTGAAAAAAAGTTATTTTGATTATCTATTTCTCTGAACCACGAAGCAATTACCTCGGTCAGTCCAACCGCGATTTTGCCGTGAAGGAATTTTCTTGTTTCATTTGAAATAATACATCCTTATAGGCGGAAATCGCTAGGAATTTTTGCACGTAGATAGTAGAAAACACTTTTTGAGTGAAAATATTTGACAATAATTAAGAGAAAAACATCTTAAGAGAAAAGACAAAAAGTTTACTAAGATGTCGAGTTTCTTAGTTAAGAACTTTGATGGCTCGAGAGGTTTTTATTTAGTACATAAATCAGTTTGTAGTGGAATGCTTGATTGTGGTGACCCTTCAGTTAAGAATATCTGATTCTTTCTGTAAGAAGTGTTTGTAACTGTGGAGTCTGCGGATAAATTCTAAAGTGGGAATATTCTAGTAAACTTGAATGAAAACAGAAGTTAATCTTGAAGTTAAACAACTAAATTTGTTAAGCATAATTATTGATAATCAGCTTTGCTTAACAGTGCAAGACGGTTACATCGCGAGCTACAATTATAGATCGATTGCATCAAAAACGATAAATTTGATTAACGGTCTACGAGTATTTAATGCACATGTACACTCTGCTATCCTAACGAGCAGACCGAATATTAATGTGCATGAAGCAGTTTAAGTCGTTCTCGAATTGCTGGGATCTACAGTATTATAACCTTATAACCTCGTGTGCTTTCTTATTACCAAAGTATACCGCACAGGGTCCTCCTTTGTTTTTGGAAAATTGCTATGGATAAGTTTTATATATACTTTATCGTAAAGTATGTAAAATATCTATAATTTTACATTAGTATATGTAAAATATAACATCAAAATAAATTTCGATATCAGAAAACTACTTTGAATAACGATTATACAGTTAACACTCTAAAGCCTTCGGAAATTCGATGAAGTGCTCGTAACTAGAGTTGGTCCTTTAACAGTGCAACATTCTCTCTTCAATTTTTTTTTTTCGGGCTAAAAAAGGAGTTGCTAAACTGATTTTACATTGTGAAGAGATCATTGCATTCATTTCATAGCACAAAACTCACTCGTAAAGTCTTGTTGAAATGTTAATTCAGGGTCAGTTTTAGCCTCCTTCTTCTTGAATATATCAGTAGAGAAAGTCATATTACGGTGAAAGTGTTCAAGTACTGTGTACTTTTTACTAATCCGTGTTGAATAATCGAGTGGCTGCTTTCGGGAGCTTAGAAATAAAAGGAAGACAAATAAGTAGTTACCAAATTGAGGTTTATTATCGCGGTCACATTCCGGAGCGCTCACGAAGAGCTTCGATTGTATTTCCTTATTATGAATAGAGCCCGAATAGGTTTTAATATGTGTATGTCCTTTTTTTTTTATTTTCAAAAAAGAAAGAAAGAAAGAAAGAGTCAGTCTTATTGTTGTAGAGCAAAGGAGAACCTCGACCTTAGGAAGAGAAACAGTTTATTTTGAATCGTTGCAATCAACAATGGATTTTAAGTTCAGATGAACTCAGTAAGAGCATTTATGACATGGTCGAGAGATTTTAGCGCACGTTTAAAGAAGTGAAGCGAGAAAAGTCTTCTGTCAAAGTAACTTTATGAATTCTACTTTGATCATTAGAAAAATGAGGCTGTTATTTCAGCTTCGCTTAAAATTTTCTGCTGTGGTTTTGGTCTTTCCTTTTCGTTTTGCAATAGTTTAGTTCTTCCCTTAAAGTTAAATGAGCCATGGGATGGTCAAATGCCCGTGGCTGTTGTACTTAAGTTTGTGAATAATAACTGGATGTGATGTCAAAACCACTTAGTGATAATACGGCTAAATACGCAATAGAAAATATAATGATTTGAGATATGACTAACTTCCTGTTTGGTGATATAAAAGCCGTCTGCAACAAAGTCAAACCTTCAGTTGAATGACGCTTGCGGACCAGAGATCACCTCACTAAGCAGACAGTGTCTCTTTCGCAAACTCGCCATGAAAGTGTGCAGTTTTCTCGCTACATTTTCTCTGGCCATTTTTATGGCGAACGCTCTTACTACTGAAGAGCATGTCAGGACAATGTTCCGCCCGGAACACAGGGTCCATCTGCCGGAGCCAGGGATGTTAAACCTGCAAGAAGACGATTCGTCTGCGCTTGTTTCAAAGCTCACTACTCAGCAAGGCGACGAATCCACAAAGTGCTTGGCCCTCTGTGAACCAAAGTGCGATAAACTTAATGTGCCATACTATTTGCAGGTAATGTCAGCGTTCTGTTAAAGTGATTTTTGAGTTTAAAAAACAGGCTGAAAGCACAAGTAAACAGCTCTCACGTTTCGGCCCATATTTCTTTTAGTCATAAGTTGCCTTGAAGATGAACAAAGAACATTTTTGCAACTAAAGTACAAAAGAACAGAAAGTTTACGACTGCTCGGATTTGAATGCATCTTTATTCTGTTTTTAATATTACCTTCAATGACATTAATTTCCGTTTTCCTTTACAGAAAAACGAAAGCTTCTTCCAATATGAGCAAACTCCTATAAACTGCGTGTTGGCGTCTACAGTTGTTTTCTCCTACAAGCACCGATGCAAGTGGCTGTGTTTGTACCTCTTTGACTGCTGCCGAGCCTGTAATGCCAAATATGCTAAATGCTACAATCTACTCCGCTTTTGGAAAGGCGGCCCAGCATTCTGCTATCGAAAGAGTTACCTCTGTATGTGCACATGTTTGGGCAAGCACCACCCCCCAGAGAATTATAAGAGCTTTCCACCGATCAGCAAGGGATAGAGATCGAAAGAGACAATTAAAAAGACCAATAGAACTCTGTAGCGTTTTAAACTAGCCCTTGTCAAAGAGTTCGTCAGTCATCTGCTGTAATTTTGTAGCTTTTTTGCGCATTCCTGTTTCTGAACTCAAAAGAGCTTTCTTGTTGTATGAGATAAAATATACACGAAATAAAAAGTACAAGTTAAACTTAAGACTTGTTTGTGGTGCTAATTTGGGTCGTTTCCCTTGACTGGAGGATCAAATATTATCACCTCAGCTTCTTTCAAGATGGTTATCTATTTTATTATCCCAAATCTGCAAAAATTATCTCATTTTCTTAGATATGTCGTCTGTTTTTGTGTACCATCAGAAATTACAAAACCCTATCTTGCGCCGATTATATAAAACTCTTTTCTCGCAATTTAAAACTCCGATCGACTTAATGTCAAACAATAACTAGAGAGGAAAAACAAAAGCGGTCAAGATAATTTCCTACTCTAGATAAAGTCTTACACAGATCGAAAAAGGTTTAAGTAGTTGTACAAAATTGAAGTCACAGTGGCAGTCATCAGTGACTGTGTTTCGAAGACATTCTTTTCTGCAAATTGTATTTTTAGTTCTTCTCAGCGAAGAATTTGTTGAGGTTACTTACAAGGTTTCGCAACTTCTAGTAAACTTCACATTGCGTAGCCTTCATATCCAATGACTATCAAGTGAAAGATAAAAAATAATATTAATAACTATAATTATTATTATAATAATCATGCAAACTGAAAAGACCATTAGACTTATTTGAATTCAAGAAAGGAAACAATTCGTAAGTAAATTCAATATAGCAAAAGCATGATACTATACTGATAAGATATTGAATTGCCTCATTCGCTTTATGGCTCAGAGACAGTTTTATTATAAAATAGGAACGCATTTACGTCTTAACCAAACCGGAAAATTGTCCTTATCCCTGCCTTCTGCTATAGAAATCCTACCAAATGATGGTTAGTTTCGATAACATTTAATTACTGGACGGGACACAATATCTGTTTATTAATAAATGTCTTTGGCAAGAAAGTTGATTCTAACCAAAATAGATTTCATTAATTATAAATGGCAATGAAAAATCACTAAGTAAACTCAAAGATGAATTATATGTAACCGACTCCCTTGTATATGTTTTAAAGGAAAGTGAACGCCTCATTGATTGAAATGTACGTGATTTTACTGTAGTCCGTTTCGTGGTTTTTACGGTCTTGCGACATACTTGTCTACCGTAATTAAATATATAGGTAGTCAAAAAGAGTCGCATAGACATGACTATGCATCTCAATTATATATACGTTGATAGGAAAGAGTTTTGATGACCATCCTCCCCGGCGTCAATCCGGCTTGCAGTTGGACAAATTAAGAACAATTATAATAATTAAACCCTTTCACTAATTATAACAAAAACGGTAGAAACTTGCTTGTTTTACGCAAATGACACGAAAAAAGAAAAATATCAGCCGGGGGACAGAAACGTATCTTTCTAGATTGTATGTAACCTGCACTTTTTAGCGTTAAGGTATACGTAATTGTAAAAACAGCATAGCTAGTATCTTATTGTCTAAAAAAGATGTCTAGCTTGCAATTCATTTAACGGGGAAAGTTATGCAAGAATATGACTCTTATTTTTCATAGAAGTGAGCTCGTTAATGAACTTAGTTCATCATTCATTAGTTTTCTTAGCATAGTATAAATGCGAAAAAATAAAAAAAAATCCATTCAACTGCGTCGAGTTTTGTGGTACGTATGCTCGAGTAATTGCGGGAAGTTAAAGGTTTCTTAGCATTGCACTTTCAAGTGTACTTTCAAAATGGGCTGTTCCGATGAGGGAACCAAGGCCAAACGAAACTAACCTAAACAGGAAAAAATTCCAGCGAACAAAGAACCAGAAAGAGCTACGTGAGAGTGATCGTAATAACACTTTAACAGCTTAACATTTACGTATTATGAATATTAAGAAGTTTAATTAAAGTTCTTAACAAATCATTTGCTAGAAGCAAAGAGTGGACCGTTTCGATTTCCGCTCTCTTGATATAAAAGGTTTTTACATACCCAATACACATTCAGTCAGACCAGCAAGGACAGCAGTTTGAGCTGACGAGGTACGCACAGATTCTCAGTCCCCTCCGTTGGCTTTCCATTGAACATGAAGTCCGGCTATTTGGTTGCCTGCTTTGTCGCTGTGGCATTGACTACTATTGCCACCCAAGGAGACGCACAGAATTCGACAAATCCTCCACCACCCCCTGAGAATTCGACAAATCCTGCTCCAGCGCAACAGAGTCTAGTAAGGCCCGTCCTTCCGCACCCACACGGCTGTGATTGTAAAGGTGAATGCAAGAAACTTCGTCATGGTCAAGTTCCGTACAAACTCGCGGTAAGTAAAAAAAAAAAAAAAACTAGTGGCAAGACTTCAAACTTTGAGATAAACTCTAAATTTCGATTTGTAAAATACTTTAAAATAATTGAAATTAATTCCGAACTTCTAACTAAAGACTTTAGTTACATTTGTCTCGAAATCAAGAAATGTACCTAATATGCACAGAATGTTGATAAAATCACATACCAAAGGCCTCGTTTCCATTTTATCCAGACGCTAAGTCAGTACTACATACCATATTTAAATGAAGAAATCAGAGAGGAAAAAAGAAATTTCACGAAAATGCCTTCACTTTAGCTTTCACATATCTAGAGAAATGTTAGAAAAACGCGAATTTCACAGTCAAAGTAACTGCTTTGCAAAGAAGGGAATCAATTTATTTTGCCAAGGAAAATATCTATATCTTTGCGATATCTTTTGAATTGCTTACCCTAGGAGATGGTACGCTCCTGTTACCCTGTGCTTTCCTTTGACAATATCGCTTAACATATTTGTATTTTGCTAACTTCATTACGGTACACTCCTGACCTTGTAAGATACGATTTTATTTGGTTAATTGTTTTATTTAATTTTTCAGGACATACACAACTACCTCAGCTACGAAAATTATCCCATCTTGTGCCGTTCAGCATCGAGTAATTATTACGGTAAACCACCAAAGAAGTATGTCTGCAAACAAACCTTCGATTGCTGTCGTTGGTGCAACGCATTTTTCTACAAATGCTTGAAGGTTTACAACTTCGGCTATTGTATTCGTAGCTCCTACAAATGCATGTGCCGGTGTATCGACAATTCCAACAGAAAGGAGCTGCCGTATTACATCCCGGCGGGCAGAAAGTAACTTTATAATCAAAGCTCTTACGAACACAATCGACAATCGATGAGTACATGACTCGTTTTAAGCCCTCTTGATACTTGTAAACAATTTAAATAAGTGATTTTTAGACGGAATAAGTGATTTTTAGACGGAAATAGCATCGGCTTTAGCACTAGCTAGTTGAAAAACCAGAAAGACTTCTCTGTTTACTACAAATAAAGCCACTCATTTGTTTGTAAGACGTATTTTGGTTGTTAATAACTTTGCATTTGTCATAGACAGTATCGCGGTAAGTCAAAAAAAAAAAAAAAAAAACTAGTGGCAAGACTTCAAACTTTGAGATAAACTCTAAATTTCGATTTGTAAAATACTTTAAAATAATTGAAAGTAATTCCGAACTTCTAACTAAAGACTTTAGTTAAATGGTAATGCCCTGAGAATTCGAACGTCCACATTTGTCTCGAAATCAAGAATTGACCTAATATGCACAGAATATTGATAAAAATCACATACCAAAGGCCTCGTTTCCATGTTATCCAGACGCTAAGTCAGTACCACATACCATATTTAAATGAAGAAATCAGAGAGGAAAAAATAAATTTAACGAAAATGCCTTCACTTTAGCTTTCACAGATCTAGAGAAATGTTAGCAAAACGCGAATTTTACAGTCGAATCGAAGTTACTTTGCAAAGCACGAAATCAATTTATTTTTTCAAGGAAAATACCTATATCTTTGTGATACCCTTTGAATTGCTTACCCCAGGAGCTGAAAGGCTTTACCCCGACTAGTGCGCTTTCCTTTGACAATATCGCTTAACATATTTGCATTTTGCTAACTTCAACGGTACACTCCTGACCTTGTAAGATACGATTTTATTTGGTTAATTGTTTTATTTGATTTTTCAGGACATACACAACTACCTCAGCTACGAAAATTATCCCATTCTGTGCCGATCAGCATCGAGTAATTATTACGGTAAACCGCCAAAGAAGTATGTCTGCAAACAAACCTTCGATTGCTGTCGCTGGTGCAACGCATTTTTCTACAAATGCTTGAAGGTTTACAACTTCGGCTATTGTATTCGTAGCTCCTACAAGTGCATGTGCCGGTGTATCGACAATTCCAACAGAAAGGAGCTGCCGTATTACATCCCGGCAGGCAGAAAATAACTTTATAATCAAAGCTCTTACGAACACAATCGACAATCGATGAGTACATGACTCAGTTTAAGCCTTCTTGATACTTGTAAACAATTTAAATAAGTGATTTTTAGACGGAATAAGTGATTTTTAGACGGAAATAGCATCGGCTTTAGCACTTGCTAGTTGAAAAACTAGAAAGACTTCTCTGTATACTATAGAAATAAAGCTATTTCTTTGCAAGACGTATTTTGGTTGTTAATAACTAACTGCATTTGTCTTAGACAGTTCTTTCGCTTTAAACATTTTCTTCTAATACCGGTAACTTTGTAAAAATATGTAGTATATCAGTAAGTTTGTTCTTCCCTTTCCCTATACGAAATACAAAATTAATTATTTTAAAAGTAGAATCCCCTCTTTTACGCCGAAAACCTCTCGGTCCGTAGACACACTCTGATACTGTCTCATTCCAAGAGAGGATCTTGCTCATTCTTAACTCTCTGTTGATTCTTAACAAGTCTAATAGCTTGTGAAGCTGTGTGTTAATTCGCAAATGTCTGCCATTTAGCTTTTCTGGGGCCTACTACACCCTCTGTTACCAGGCCACGAATGCGAGAAAATGCCTGAAACAAATAATTCAAATCACACTTAACAAGGTTAAGAATCCCAACTGGCCGGAGACAAACCAGCTGGCTATTTACAAGCGTGGCTGATCTGGATTTGAACTCACAAATCCAGCTAGCGGTCAGTGCGGGACTTGAACTAGGGGCTTCGAATTGCAAGTCCAACGCTCTAACCACTCAGCCACGCCGCCAACATTGTTGGATGTTACGTGTTGCGTCCGTTTGCACACCTTGTTGCATCATGATGTTGTTGCGCAAAGTTTGAAACGGGTCAAACGTTTAGCTTAAAGCCTTGAATGACAGTTACAAGTGTTAAACTTAAAGGCGGGAGCGAGGGCCTGGAACTTAAGTAACTGCAGGCACTAAAGTGACTAAAGCAACCGCCGTGTACGGGATAAAATGTATTTTAAACTGGATGTTGAAAGGGTGTTTTTTTGTGTTAAAAGATTTTGACCAATCATAAGAGTTGCAAACAATAGCCAAGAAAAGTTTAAAATTTTATATGTTCCTCACATGGGATTTCTGTGTTATTCAGACTGAGACGAGATTTAGTTATATGGAAGTTGGTTGGAAAAGTAAGGATGAACATATATACTGCTTTATTAAGTTTTCTTAACTTTTACTGTTTAAGCCAATCTGAAGTAAAGTACAGACAATAGCAAAGTTAGCACCTTTTTGCATTCCAACATGTTCATAGCAACAGCAAGTGGTAACATTGCGAGTATGCGCGAGCCGCTGGACGGAAATTCTCTGTTTACTACAAATAAAGCCACTCATTTGTTTGTAAGACGTATTTTGGTTGTTAATAACTTTGCATTTGTCATAGACAGTTCTTTTGCCTTAAAAATTTTCTTCTAATAACGGTAACTTTGTAAAAATAGGTAGTATCTCAGCAAGTTTGTTCTTCCCTTTCCCTATGCGAAATACAAAATTATTTATTTTAAAAATAGAATCCCTCCTTTTACGCCGAAAACCTCTCGGTCCTTAGACACACTCTGATACTGTCTCATTCCAAGAGAAGATCTTGCTCATTCTTAACTCTCTGTTGATTCTTAACATGAAGTCTAATAGCTTGTGAAGCTGTGTGTTAATTCACAGTTGTCTGCCATTCAGCTTCTCTGGGGTCAGTACTACGCCCTCTGGTACCAGGCCACGAATGCGTTTATGAATGATGGTGTTAGCCAGTCTAAAACACACGCAAACGGACGCAACAATGTTGGCCAACAAAAAAAATAATAATTCCGTTATTTACCCTCAACAGTATTTATAGCACTAATGCTAGTGGGGCCGAAAAAATGCCTCAAATAAATTAAATCACACTTAACAAGGTTAAGAATCCCAACTGGCCGGACACAAACCAGCTGGCTATTTACAAGCGTGGTAGATCTGGATTTGAACTCACAGATCCAGCTAGCGGTCAGTGCGGGACTTGAACGCGGGGCCTCCGAATTACAAGTCCAACGCTCTAACCACTCATTCAGCCACGCTGCCAACATTGTTGGATGTTACATGTTGCGTCCGTTTGCACACCTTGTTGCATCATGATGTTGTTGCGCAAAGTTTGAAACGGGTCAAACGTTTAGCTAAGCCTTGAATGACAGTTACAAGTGTTAAACTTAAAGGCGGGAGCGAGGGCCTGGAACTTAAGTAACTGCAGGCACTAAAGTGACTAAAGCAACCGCTGGTCCTAACTGTATATAGAATATATTAGAATGCATAAATCTACATAAAGGCCGTGTACGGGATAAAATGTATTTTAAACTCCATGTTGAAAGGGTGTTTTTTGTGTTAAAAGATTTTGACCAATCATAAGAGTTGCAAACAAAAGCCAAGAAAAGTTTACAATTTTACATGTTCCTCACATGGGATTTCTGTGTTATTCAGACTGAGACGAGATTTAGTTATATGGAAGTTGGTTGGAAAAGTAAGGATGAACATATATACTGCTTTATTAAGTTTTCTAAACTTTTACTGTTTAAGCCAATCTGAAGTAAAGTACAGACAATAGCAAAGTTAGCACCTTTTTGCATTCCAACATGTTCATAGCAACAGCAAGTGGTAACATTGCGAGTATGCGCGAGCCGCTGGACGGAA